CACATCATTTTTTGACATGTTTGACGAGACCTCTGCCTCATCTTCAGCTTTTCTTTTCACCACATGATCGCTTGCCTTTCCAGCAATATCCTCTGGTTTCTGCACGTCAGCCTTAGCAATCCCAATCTTGCTTCGTTTCTTGCGTGACCAAGAGGCAGTTTGACGAGATTATTTACTCCTCCCATTCGTACCAGATTCACTGGCAGCTCGCCCCATCTTAAACTCCAAGGCATTAGTCATAGGTTCAAAATTATCAGAGCCTTCTTTTAACTCCATATTTGTCTTCAAGACTTCCTTGTTGTATGGCTGAACAGTTTCATTCACCTCTGGTATCATGGTTAAAACACTGGGATTCACTATACCTCCGTAATTCTACTGAGTTGCGTCTCCAGCAGTTAAAGCTCTTGAAGAGTTCTTCTATGGCTCTTGTTGACTCAGGCCATTCATGTGACTTGTTGATGGTTGCTGGGAGTTTTGAAAATCAAAGACAAGGCCTTTGTTTTTATTGTTGTCCAGGGTAATTGTAGCTGGGCTCTCCAAATGAAGAACTGATCTCTGTGCTACTGGATCCTTAGACAACCCATCTAATGTCATTCTCATTTTCTGTTCTCGGATCCTCCTCTCTTCAGGATCCAAACAGCTCATGTAAATTTGGACGGAGGGGCAAACCCAGGCGGTACTGATGGTGCAAGCAAAGGTATTAACTGGTTAGAGAAATACATATGATGTTGTCGATGGTTTAAATTCTGCAGCTCAGCTCCCAATCTTCTCCCCGAAATGTTTTTCCCTTCATTTCGGTGAGCTTGAAACAAAGGACATCGTTGCTTCTCATGCGTCAGCCTGTGGCAGTGAAAGGATTTTTTCCGAATTCTTTCATACTCAACGTCGACCACAGCTACCGCTCCTTTGGGAAGATTGACTGATTTTGTATCTCGGACAAGTTGTGTCACATCTAGTAAGATCAAGGCATAAAGCAAAGGCTTTTCTGGGTCATAAGTGATCTTTTCCACATGGTCCACCGTTGTGGCTATCCTATCCATAACCATACCCCAATCATCAATGGTCCAAAACCTATGCTTCATAACAGTGGTTAGATCTGTTTCCAGTTTGAAGATGAACTGAAACGTATCATTAGTGAGCGCAATACCCCTTACTCTCTCGTAAATCTTCCAGATCTGTGGCATGGTACGCAACATCTGGGACATGTTCTGGCATTCTGGATTCAACAACCTTCCAATCAAACTCCTACCACTTTGTTCCATTGTACTGAAAGCCTCATCGTTTGAGATAATCATCGGTACGTCTTTTTCAATATTCATCGCTTGCATAGCTTCGTTTAAAGTTCCGTCCATTAGTAACAAAAACAGAGCAACTTTATGCCAAAGAACAAGCTTTTCTGTGGAATAGATTTGTGAGCTTTGGTGAGATGGCGGCAAGAACCCTAGAAAAACACTTCGATTTGGTGAAGATTTAATAGAAAAAACGTCTTTTTCCTATAAAAAATTGTATCGTATGGAAGAAATTTTTCGAAATTTTCCTAAATAGAACAGTGAACGGCAAGGACAAATTCTTCCGTAAGTTTATGGTCAAAGAGTTCTAAGCAAGAGAGCATATTTCGTTTTGATTAACATTGATTAAAAAAA